GCACCCTAGCTTTTGCCTCTCTTTTAGAACATTGTTAAATTTGACTTCAGTGGAAGGAGCTGCCCAACCCAGACATTCCCAGTGGTTTGAAGTCATATCGTCATGCTTAAAACTGGAAAAGATTCGGCACGTAATGCAAGGGTGAGAGAAAAGGTTTCACAAGGTTTGAGGTCTATTTCTAACACATTCTGCTCAGCCCTCTAAAGTAGTTTCTGAGTAGTGCAATATTTTCTTCTGCACTTACTCTGTTCCAGGATGCCTGGTCCTATTTTCCCTCTTGTGTAATTTTGAATACAGTTATTCATTTGCACAATGTATGGATGTGTCATTCTTTGACTCCTGACATAGGGCTTGGAAAGGCTCTAATAATGTTGCCTCGAAGCATGTGTCCTTTTACCTAAGCAAACAATGGTATATATTGCTTCTATACATTTATGCTCGCTCTGACCTTATAACTAATTTCCTTCCCACCTCTAAGGGTACATAAGTTAACAAGAAGTGTCACTGAATGGGGCATTGAACAGCGGCAGAGAAGATTAAATATTCTCCATGGAAAGGGTGCTCAACAGTCCACAGAGGTTACACATTGCTGTGTTTGCAATACTGCACAATATATGCAAGATGCCGTGCTACGATAGGCACTGTAAAACAATTTGAGGGCTGACATGGATAATTTCACTAATGCATGTACATTTATTTTATGAAGCACAAACACAAGTGGCTTGCCAGTATTTAGAGCTTACTATGCAAAAAGCTTTGTTGTAAGTATGTCAATCTCTGTCTAACCCTAACCCCAACCCTCACTATTTCTTTTGGCATCACATTTTGGCACATATAACTAATACAGCTTACCCTAACCTTCAGTCCAGCACGAGAGGACGAAGAAGAAGAGCTGCCTCGAGGGCTTATCAGTCACGTTAAAGATACAGTGCCTGGTTAGTGAAACAGTAAACACAAAGGCAGCATTCACACGTTTTTGTTTTAGAATGCATAACTTTTAATAACGCAAAAGATTACCTAAAGCTCTTGGCAAGTGACCTTTACCACTATATTGACCACACGTTGGTGGCAAGAAACCACAATTGGCGGCTAAGAAAAGAAGTGATACAAAAAGAAGCAAAACAAGAGTTAGGTAGCGGTCTACATTGTGGTGGCTTTCCCCCACTGGAAACAGTGGTGAGTAAAGAGATGAGGTTGATGTTGAACTTTCTTTTAGACTGGTAAGTAACATCTAACATTGGCAGATTGCACCTTTAAGCAGAGCAACATTATTCAGACAAACTAAAGCCTTAAAATTTTCTCGAAGAAAGCAAAGTTAAACTTTGAGTGTCTTGTTTTGCACAGAGGTCACTGAATTTGCTTTGATCGAGTTTGGTGTGTCAGCACTTGGCGGTCACCATGATTTCATTATTGTGAGTCTGACTTCAGTGTGATCTCTTGTTACTGCAGGCAACATAACAGGCCCTCCACCAATTACTGTTGTCTGTTGCTGGGGCAACGCATCCGCAGAGGATGCTCTCTTTCTCTCACAGACAATATGCAAAACACATGCAGGGAGCGTCTTCCCTTCATCCTCGACCTAACACCTGCCTTTTACTGCTCACTTTATCTGCTGCTCTCATCTTTTCTTGCTCTCCCTCCCCCCTTTTGATCCTACCATCATCTAGTACTCCAACTATATCCTTTACCTTCCCTCCCTTGTGTCCTTTATTACTCTCTCTCTCTCTCTCTCTCTCTCTCTCTCTCCATCTTCTATCTTTTGCTTCAATCCTCCATCTTTCCTCTCTCCTCCAATCCCCATTCCCTCTCTGGGAGGCTTCCTCTCTCTCTCCCCCATCCTTGCCCCAGCAGGCTGCAGATGGTGCTTAATGGACGCATAACTGAGCGTAACTGCCTCGTGAATAATTCCACAGGCACAAGGTGAGCCATAGGACAGCTCCATATGTGGACACACATAAAAGTAAGCGCACGTGCACACACACAAACTACAGAGTGAAACACTGTAACATGACTATCAAATTTTAAACAAACTTTAAGGGTACTATGACTGTCTATAAAATTGTTTCCATCATAAACAATCACTTTGTTTCATTAAAAAAAATCCTGACAAATCGTCTTCATGTTTATATGGTCTGACAACATCCAGAGGTAGATTTAGTGTGGCATTTTGGACACTGATTAACATTTTTTTTGTTTGTTTCTTAAAGATTTTAATATTTCTAACATATTTTGGCACAGCAACTCATACTATCAGCTGTTGTTAGTAAAAATCTCTCTTGGGGTGTGCATGCAGGTTGCTGTCCAGTTGCATTCTATAGTGTAACATCACCTACTGCACAATATTCTCTCGTCTAATATCTCTGTGATTGTCATTTCCCCTTGACTGCCTCTCACATTAGTTATGGACCCCTTTGCTTTAAGAAGACCTTTATACTGTCTTACTTTATGTCCCTTTCCTCTTTTATGTCTGAGGCTGTCAGAGTACAGCTTGCTCTGATGCCACGTTGTTGGCAGCTGTACTATTAAAATCTTTTTTTAATAGCCCTCTAGCACCACTGACACTGCTTAACTTATATTTTTTTGTCTTAAGAGTTTGGTGAATCTGACTTGCAACCCCTCAGAAAACTTACACAGGTTTAGGATAGGGATGTGAACATGTTCTTGCACGAGGCTTAATGTCATGCTGGAAAACAAATCTTCTCCCCAGCGGCAGGTTTCTTTAAGACTGCATCAGGATTTCCTCCAGGCTCTCCCTGTAATTTACTGCATTCCTTTTTACCCTCTACCCTCACAAGCCTGCTGCAAAGAAGCATCTCCGGTGTATGACATTGCCACCACCATGCTTCATGATGATGTGCAGTGTTACATGGTGTTTAGTCTGATGGCCCAAAAAAAACAGCTCAATTTGCTCTCATCACACCATAGGATCTTCCCCTAGCTGACTCCAAATCTCCCACTTGCAGTGGAGGTGGCCTTCTTGTTGCAAATCTCCCATAAAGTTGCTACTGGTGAAGCACCCAGCCAGCTTGCTGTTGTATGCACAGTCTCTCCAGTCTGAGCTCTCAAGGTTGAAGCTTCTAGATACAGGTGAACTCTATTTAATTACTGCTTATGTGACTTTTAAAACCAATTGGCTGCACCAGTAACGATTTAAGTGTGTCCTATTAAATGGTGAGTAATTATGCAAACAAGTATTTTAACTTTTATATCGGTAATAAATTTAGATCAGTTTTTAGAGACTTGTTTTTACTTATTATTCAGTGTCAAAGCCACATTAAATCTAATTTGATTAAGTGCTGCAAAACAATAAAACATGGAAACTTCCAAGGAGGGTGAATACTTATTTGAAGGCACAGTGGGGGGAAAAATCGATTAACTTGAGAATCTTTAATTGATCTTTTTAATGCCTGAATCAATGTAATTCAAATGCAAAGGTGGAAATAAGTTGCTGCCTTTATTGTGGTAGTGCGTGGCATCATATCCATCTAGAGAAAAACAAGGCCGAAGCAAAATAGCAGAAAATGGCGAACATTCCAAGGACACAGACCTTCTGCTGCTCAAATAGCAACTCGGCCAGACCAGCGTAAACTCACCACCAAATTTGCCAACTTTCTGTTGCTGCTGTTAGACAGATTAAACCCAGTTGGCTGTGACCCCAAGCGCTGGGGTTTGTGCCACCTGAATTTGGATTGCTACAGCCACTACAAAAGCTGCCCGCCCTAGTCTCAGCAAGGAGTTTACTAGCAGTTGGAAGAGACGGAGGGACTGCAGGGTGCAGGGTGGCTAGCTAGCTATGTTGATACTGTCACAGCTGCCCAACACAAATGTATGGGATACATTGCAAGCTTAATAAGCTGTATGTAGCAGTTTGAGTTTACTTTAAAAACTAGATATTTATTATTATTTATTATTCATTATATGGCATTAAGTACGTAAAGTAAAGTTTATTTAATATAATACCTTTCAAAGAGCACAAAGTGCTTAACTGAAATGAAATTGTTAAAAATAAAAGCAAGAGTCTATGCAGTATATGATGCTGCTGAGATGAAAGTCAGAAAGACTGGATGATGTGATGCACTGTTTCTAGAAATATGTCTGATGATGTACAGCATGTAGAAGTGTATGATTTATCTGTTTCCCATGGTTTGGTGTTAAAAAAGTGTACAAAAATGGCAATGAATTGTAACACTGAATTGCAATACTTATAAATCTCAACACATATTGAATCGGCACTCAAGTATTGTGATGGTATAGAATCCACAGATAAGCATATCGTCCCGGTCATAGTATATTTCAGAAATTTAACTAAAATTTAAAATATCCATTGAGACTTATTAAAAGTTGTTGATTGAAAAGGCAGTTACAAATACGAGGATTTACAGTAGAGTTTAACAGCCATGTGTGCTGCTGTGTGGGATGCATTTGTATGCATACAGGCCCACACACTGGACAACCTCTTAAGGGCTCATGTGGTTTGATTTATTAAATAGAAGATACTGAGATTTTCAGAAAGGTTGCAGCGTATTTCAAGGTTGTCCTGGTTAGTGTAATATAATATGGGGTGGCAATATGAGTCTAACAGAGTATCATAAGGGAAAGGATAACTAAAACGAAGTTGGTTACATTTTTACTTCAAATAGTCTCTGAGGCATAATAGGGACACCATAACCATTACGCCCATTTATTGCTCATCATACATCTGATACCTGCTGTATGTGTAAAACTTGAGAGACACCAGCTCTTTTCATGAATACACTGATTAGGTGAACCCAGGAAAATGCCATTATACCTTATCAATTTTACGTATTAAATCTATAATAACAATAAAGAAGGATAAGAGGTTTTTTTTTGCCAACTCTAGTGTAACATGTAATATGTTACAGTGTGACTTGAGGATGATTTTGGAGAATATTGTTAAAATAAAGGCATTACTTCAAGGTTAATGACATGAAGCGACACATTAACAGTGATCAACACTGATTTAAAATCAAGTGAAAAAGACTGGGTACATTTTATTTTCAAATTTATGAGTTTTCAAAAATGATGCTCCTTTTCTTCAACTGTCCAAATAACACTTCACCAAACCATTAACACATTTCCAAAATAAAAAAAGTTATCTTTTTGAAGGTGACATTGTGTGGTGCATGTTGCTGGACAAAAAAAGCAACTTTGGCTATAAGTCAAACATAAATAAGTCAAAAAGGAAGTTAGACAAATTAATGATCCTTAGCTGTATGAGGGAAGGAGGATGTCTATTATCTGCAGGCTTTAAGAGGGGATGAGTTAGCCAGGGCGGGAAGCCGAAGGTTCCGAGCCACAAAGTTCCGTTGCCGTTCATTGGTTGAACGAGGCACAGAAGAACTGCCATTAATGGATGTGGTACAGATGGGTGGGGAGTCACGAGTGGTTTTCCCTCTCACTTCGTAGGTCCACTTCATGTCTGCTGCCTGTAATAAGGCCTCCAGTCAATCACTAAAATTGATCCCAAAGTTATCACCATAAAACAACAAATAAACACAAAAGTCGATGAGATTATCAGAGAATAAATCACTGAAATACCTGGATGGTTAGTCTTGCTCTGTGCTTGTTGTACGTGGTAGGTGTGAAGGACACAGTGATGAGGGCTCCAATAGAACCAACAGGAGGTAACATCCCTGCCGCTGGAGTCACTGTGAACTCATTGCTGCTGCCTGGTAAGAACGCTGCTGTGAATGGCTCTGGCCTCCTGGAACAAAAACTTCAAATTTACGACTAATCCATCGTGCTGCCCAGAGGTAATTCGCATCTAATTGCATCTTTACAATGACTTTACATGTAATTCACTCATGCAAATTGCTTTACTCGCGCCCGGTATGAACATAACATAACAGCTGACCCTATCTTGCAAAAAACACAAGTAGATGAACAAATGATGTATGAACATTTTAGACATTTTCTACCACAGGAACTTTCTTTGTGAAACAAGGACCTTTTGAGGATCTTGTGAATTTTACCTGCATTTCAACCAGAGGAACCAGAGGGCTAACATTAGTTCCTCCACAGCGGTTCCTGGTACCAAATAAAGGTCCCTGCCGTCAAGGGTGGTACCTTCTAATGATCAAAGAACTACTGGAGTTTGTATGGCTGAATTATGCTGTATTGACTGTGATGTTTCATGTTTCAGATGTGATGGAAATGCATAAGGGACTTTTAGTTGAATTCCTGACTTCAAAAACTCCTGGAAATGTTACATCAAACAGGGCTTTATTGCTACTGTAATGTTAGAGGTGAGGTGAATTGCAGATTGTATTTGATTATAAGGAAACACGGAATGAGAGCAAATGAAAAAAAAAAAAAGCACAATGAGGCAAGTAAACAAACACAGACCTGGTGGTGCTGGTCAGACGGAAGCCCACAGCTGAAGTCTTGCCCAACTCAGTGGCTTCAGTGAGAATGACATCATCTACTTGAGGCTCTGTGGCGATGAGAGTGATGGGAAACTCCCAGATCCTGCCTGGCTCACACTGCACTGCAAGGACTGCTGAGCACCTAGACCGCCCACACACACATACAAACACTGAGCACCTCGATTAAATCCAGATGACCTCTATAAAAGACTTGAGCCAGGTGGGAGAAGGAGGTGAGAGAGGACAGAAGTTGTGGATGAGAATTTGTGGCATGATGCTAACTTAAACATGTATATATAGTGAATATACAGTATCTTCATGTTTGTTTTGTTTCGGGAAATAAAGCCTACTAAGCCAGAGTCCTGCATGGGATATTTGTCTCAATTTTATTTTTGGGTTTGGTTCTGAGCTACAGTTTATTACAATTGCTAGCAAACATTTACCTTTAAATACCTTTTTAAAACATTTACAGTAAGCTATACGCCAGGACCATGTTACGTAAAAAGGCAGTGTTCACACTCTGACACTAGCATTCTATCCTGAACATATTTTTTTGTGGGTCCATGTATTACTTGCTATTTTTAAAATGGCAGGACAAAAACAATTTGGAGCATGCAAAGTGTGTGTGATGAAAGGCCAAATGTATGCAGGTTTATACTTCAACCAGTGAGTGCACCAGCTGATTTTACTGATTGACTTCATCCAGAGAAGAGGAACTAATCAGCAAAATGAGCTGCATTAGGATTTAACTGGAATGAAAACCTGAATACAGTTGGCCCTCCTTGGCACACAGATGAATACCTCTGAGCTCATCTGTTTTTTATCGTCTGTTTTCTTCAAGTCATTCTTCCACTCTAATTTATCTTGAAAAGTGTAATTTGAGCATTGAATCATTCAAACATGATTCACTAAACCGGTCTTTAATATTCCCGCTTTCAGCTTATGATACTTGGTCTCCTCATCTCACTACCCACGGCAGAAAAATAACATGTAGATAATGGAAGAGCCTATTAGCGACACCACACCCCCCGTCATTTCCTCGTGGAGAACTCATTAGCTCTCAGAGGTATTGATTCTACCGGGGCATGCGTCATTAATGGACTCCATAGATGAAGACAGGAGCTGATAAATGAATGCACTCTTCACTCAGCAGGATGTCACATGCAATGTACAGTAAGAAGGACAGTACAGAACCGGCCAGTTTTATTTTGAGTGGGACCAGTTTTGTTTGTATTGTGGAATGTGCATTCCTACCTATGGCCTCACACTATAGTAAGTAGTGGTAGTGTGCCAAGAAATGCAGCAATGCACCAGCAAAAGCAGGGAAGATGAACACTGAAAGCAAGTAAACATGGAGGTAAACAATGCAGGAATTAAATTTTTAAAAAATCAGCTTTGTAAATGTTTTATGAGTAAGGAAATCTATTCAACACTTTTGCTGGACCTCAGGGATGCACACAGTGTGTTTTGGTGGGTAACACTTAATGTGTTTCTCACCAAACTTTTGTTTGTTTACAAGAATTCTCCACAGGGCAGCAGAATTGAGAAGATAACCAAACTGAAACCATCTGCAGGTGGCGGAATAAGTATAATGATTTTAGATTTCTAGCAATGATATTAAACATATCTGTTTAATGTCATTTAGAAACTCCTTTTTTATGTTAAACATTTTGACCTGCCTTATCATTTAAAGGTTTATTTTTCAGCTGTAAAATACTTATCTTGATCACATTTCTGAAATATCTATGGTATTCTTATAAAAAAAGAAAGGTTTGAGAAAGTTAAAACAATGAATGTATTTCAACCCATGTTCATGTCTTCTAAATCACTCCAAGGATATGATAAAAACTAGCAATCACTACTTCAAATGGTTGAGAGTGGCCATCCCAACAGCAAAACAGCTTATTCTTGACCATTGGGAGAGGAAATGAATCTCTAAGCTCTCAATAATGGTTTAATATGTTTTGCAGTATCTCATATACAAGATAAAATAATAAGATGGACATCTTCACAGTGCTGGGAAACCATTCCTATCATAACTGCAACTGTAACACAGTGAGAGTAAAAAGGCCAACAGGGGCAGAGAGAAACAAACACTTGTTCCATTAATCTGCCAGTCACTGCGCGCATCTATCTTTTAGTATTTTGCCTATTTTTGTTTGGATCATTTTTATTATTAGGGTTCAAGCCATGGAGGGTAAAAACCCTTATGAGTTTGTGCCAGTTTGTTATTTTTATTTTTTGTCTTATACTGTGGCTAAATTGCTAGGAGCTGGAATGAACTGGAAACATTAAATAATTATATTATAATACCTGGAAATAATGTGCAAATGCTTCCCAAGAAATATGACTACAATTTGCCACATGATGGTGCTTGGAGGACCATAGGTCATAACTCAAGTTCTTTTGGAACAATCCTGCTAAAACTCAGTGAAGACATCTAGTGCCAAATCTGGTGTGAATGACATACCAAGTTTCATTCACACCAGATTAAGGGGCAGCAAATATGTGCAATTGCTGAAATGATGAATACACTGTAATGATCAAACATGTGGGTTATTGGTCTCATTCCTTCTTTAGACAAAATTAAACCAGAAGAACTGACTTTGTTCAGCTTTGGGAAGCCAGAAATCCACACCTTGCTTCGTGTGGCTTTGAGTTAGGCAATTGAGCTGCTACCTACCATTGACTGAGAAAGGGCTTGAACCTGGGATTACTGCTTGTGGCTATGTTTAAAATTAGTTGACCACAAATTCCCCACTACCTGTCTGCTGTACAGGTCAGTGAGGATACTTTGCTGAACACCTTCTGCTGACAGGGTTGGAAATAAGCGCCAGCATCCAGCCAAGTGCTGGTAAAATATGCAAGTGGCTGACGATTTGCTTCAGTCACCAGTCAAAAAACAATAGTAATCACTGCGTTCAATCACACTGGCAGGTGGACAAAAAGTTCATTTCAGACCCTTACTGCTGACCTTGACTATACAGTATTGAGCACTGCACTGCAAACTAGGAATGCACCGAATATTCAGTAACCGAATATATTCGGCCGAATATTGCAAAAAAACACACATTCGTATTCGGTGGAATAAGTTAAAAGCAAGGCTGAATAATAGCGGCACGGTTTTGATAACGCAATCAAACAGCGTGCCGTGACGGGTGGATTAAAATGTTGGCAGTGTGGCGATCCATCCGTCACATTTGCGACTAAAAATAGTTTTGAGCGAGCAAAATAGGCTTAAATCATTCAGCACGCTGTGCGAGCAGCCTACAGATTTCAACCAGCAGCAGAAACGAAAGGCGAATCCCACCGATTGTGGGTTGAACGGGGGTCACAGACACAGACAGTAATGTATTCCTGTCAAATACCGCGGCCATCGGCTTACTGGCGCGGAAAAGTCGGCTCCAATAATATCCTCTTCTTGGCGTGTGGACTGCCCAGAAGTACCTGAACAGCCGAGCCAGCCGAACACAGGTATGTGACGTGTCAGAAGAGAAACAAGCCGTTCACGGTCCACAAACCTCACCGCACTTTAGGGACTGTTCTTTACTTATGAAGGGGAGGAGGGTGGCTGGTTGATTCTTATTTATTTATTTATTTTATTTTGATCCCCCCTATGTTAATCACTTATTGATGCTGTTTTTGAAGTATGAATAAGTCAATAAGTAATTTATTCCACTGAAATATCATTGATGTATTATAGAAAAGTGATTTATCTTTTTATAAATGACAAAAGGCACATCTGCCTCATTTTCGCTGTGGTATTGTGATACTACTCAGAACCATGATATTTTCACTGGTATCGTACCGTGGGTCCCAATTTTGGTACCGTGACAACACTACTCTGGAGGGGGTTCATCTGCAAAAGCTAATGAAAAACTAAACAACGATATTCAGTATTCGGCCAAGCGTTTAATATTATTCGGCTTCGGCCACAAATTTTCATTTCGGTGCATCCCTACTGCAAACAGAACGATAATTTTTATAGACTTAGCTGACACAAGAAACCTCAACAACTTAAAATCGGTTCATCACAGTGTCAAGGATTAAGCATGCGTATGTGATTGTTTGACAATTCAAACCTAAGAAGCTTAAGTCAAAAGAATATCCAAATGCTTTTCTCACTGACTGCCTTACTAAGTGATATTCAAAAAGTCCTGTGTGGTTTAATTAGAAAAGCACGAGGAGAATCCCTGGTGTTTTAAACCTAAAAAAGTATCAATGTGCTTTTAGGTCACACTAAAGTTAATGTCTATAGGGATCAGTCCTAACATCGCAAATACTGTTAAAGCAGAGGAAGATAATAAGCTGAGCTCCCCCTTCACCTCTGAGAGAGCACAGCAACCTTTAGCTACAAAGATTAAGACTCAGCACATGTAGACAGTTAGTAATAAATGAATGCGGAGGCCACACCCACCTGAGAGAGAGAGAGAGAGAGAGAGAGAGAGAGAGAGAGAGCGAGAGAGAGAAGATGGGAGAAAGAGTGAGGCACTGGAAGAAGAGACTGTACTGTATAGGGAGAAGGACAAGAGATAAATGAATGCAGTGTTTACTCACAAAGCTCAATGCAAGTGTGTTATCTGCAAAGAGAGGGAGTGCAACAAACTGATTGTGTTTATGTGCCTTCCTCCCTGTTGTGTGTCTGTGTATGAGAATGTGCCAGTACTGTATGTGCTGGTTTTGTTTTTCTGTCTTATTATTAGCATACGTTTGTTTTGTTTGTTTTTTTCCTGCACAGAGGAGGTGTGCATATTTGTTTCTCTGAGTGTGTACAATTTGTGTTTTTCTTTGTGTGTGTGCTTTTTAACTTTTGAGATGCTTGTGTGCCTCTGTCAGACTCTGCATAATATTCTCACTCTCTCTGTGTGTGTGTGTGTGTGTGTGTGTTTAGTTCTCCCTGGTACTGAGTATATGTGTATGTCTGGGTCTCTCTGTGCCTCAGTGTCTGGTCTTTGGGCTTTTAATTCAGTGTGTGTCTGTAGTTTGCGTCTGAAAATGTGCCTGTATGGTTTCTTTTTATCTGTGTGCATTTTTGTGTGTATACTGATTTCTCTTGAGTGTGCAAGGTGTTAGTTTGCTTTAGCTGGTAACACCACCAATGGAGTGGTTTAATAAGGAGAACAGGATTGAACTCAAAAGCTACTGAATCTCTACAACAAAAAGGCACATTTCTCAGTGTGTATTTCATTTTCCGGCATACTTGTCAATGTGTGTCACACTGTTTGAACAGGTTTGTTTGTGTGTGTGTGTGTGTGTGTGTGTGTGAGTTACTGTAACCTGTATGGCCTGAGGGGAGTGTAGACTAGATTAACGGTGAGTGTGATGATGCCGGTCTCTGGGTCCCTCCTCACTGCCTCTGCGGCAGCAGAAAGGCAGTCCTCCACCTCTGAGCGCTCTGTTTCACTGTCTGAACGAACCGTGCACAAGAAGTCTTCCTCCATCACCCAGGAACCTGCCCAGAAATAAGAGATGGGAAGAAGATGATTGAGCATGGACCACCAGAAAAAAACAGAACCTACTGAGCTGCTGTACTTGAGCGGATTTGGGCAACTACTTTGATAAATTAAAATGTCTGCTTGTCTGCTTTTTGTTAGTCATAAAATAGACACACCAGTCTGCTGTTACAAATAGAAATGCACTCAATGGCTTTAGATAGTTACAACACGCCTTAATGCATGATGTTACAAGATATGAGGCGCGCGCGTGCGCGCACGTGCACACACACACACACGCATGCGCACACGCACGCGCACACACGCATGCGCACACGCACGCACACTTATCTCTTGTCTTTTCTTACTGTCGCTTTTATGTTTGAAAGGCATGCCTGCCTGTTCAGCTTGCAGACGTGTTCAGCTCATCAGTCTTGACAAATTTTGCACGTAAACTAGCTAACATGTATCGTATCGTCTCCTCACATGATCAGATAGAGACTCGACTTTGGACAACATCTACAAATTACCCAGCAATCATCAAAGCTTATCTGTATATGATAAAAAGAAAATAAGATTAAAAAAAAATGTAATTAGTTTTTTACAGTTTATTTACAGTTTACAGAAGTTTTTGTAGTTTCTGTAGAATAAACATTTATTTATTTTTTTTAGATTGCTACTGACTATTTCACCACACATACACACAGAAAAAAAAGAATATCATGACAGAGATGAGTCTGCATTGTTGACATGGCAAATGGCACTGCTTTTAATTTAATGTGACAAGTGTATTTTGGAGTTGGAAATTGGAATCACTCACAAAAGCCTGTTCTCCGCCCAACTAATTGTTGAAGGGCCTGTCCCCTCCATGGGCCCCTCCATCCCACAGGCCCCAACGCAACCACACTGCCTACGCTGTTTATATTTATGCTCTGGATGTACCAATCCAAAATGTCTGATCAGATACTGACCCCGATTCTGACCTCATCAGGCATAACAGGTATCAGCCAGATGGAAACACTGCACCTTAAATACTGTTTTCTTTCCTGCTCTGTTCATATGCTGTGGTAAGCAAATTTCAATGTGTCAAGCTACTGTTTGGACTATTTCCACATCATGCATGTGATTCACAATAAATACTAGGGCTGGCTTGAAATAATCGATCAATTCTTAAAATCCAAGCTCAATCTTTTAACAAACGCCTTTTCCCACTAATGTGACTCTTTAACCCCGTTAATTTCGCCAGCAGTAAATGAGCTGCAGCTCTAAGTTATGAACGACCATAGTATTGAGTAGCTCCGATGGTCACCGGTGGTCATGTGACCTGCAGACAGTGAGTCTCCTCAGCAGCAGAGGGAGGAGCAGAGAGGACAGGAGGACCAATACTGACTGGTGTCTGTGTTCTTTATTCTTTCTAAACTTCACTCAGTATTTTGATGTCAGGAATATGATTTTTAGTATTGACATTTTTATTTTGTTTCCAGTGAGATATTAAGTTAATATTGCGACTTTACTATTTTGATATTACTGTTGCTGCTCTAGAAACATGAAGCCCTAGGCTTTTATTGTGAAATGAGGTACTGACAATGCCTTTGGAATTAGCTGTTAACAAAAATCTGAAAAAAGATGGAGCCACACAGAGATGAGGTGGTTAGATGAAGAACTGTAGAAACATGTAAATAAACTGAACAACACACTTAACTCAACAAAGTGCAACATTCATTTGCAGCAGCACAATGCAGTTTGTGTTACATGTGTTGGAAAGGAAACATGATTGACATGATGTACATCCACCCTCAGGTCAGAATAAAGGTAAATATTCTTATTGAGGTTGCATTATGGCAACACAATGCAAGCAAATATGAACTAATTTCAACTTCATGCAAACTCTACTAGGTAAATAAATGGCAATGTCATGTTAAATTATGTTCTCACACATCCCCATCTGATTGTGGTCTGTTGTCTTGATTTTTCCCATCTAAAAATAATTCAGACTGTTCTGTTGAACCACACTGATTAATTACTGCAAAGAAAAAAAAAATCAATGTTACAATCAATCAATCACCTGCTGAGCTGAATCAGATAGATCCTGACACATTTAATCTCGTTATCTGTGTAGCTCTTAGATGACAGTTAAAACAACGTCCTTATTAATAAATACACAGCCTTGGCTGTGTGATGTAGTGCCACTGCTCATTTCAACAGCCTCATTTCAATTCACGCAAGACCGATTACAATTAATTTGATGCAGCAAGAAAGCATTATACATATTTTAAAGTATACACAAGTATTGACAGAAATTCTAGGTCTATCCCTTAATACTGTGGTTTTGATCAAATGTCTTGCAAGGACTACAAAAGGTGATATAGTTTTAGACCATTTTCAAGTCACCATAATTGCTGGTGTTGAAAAATGTTCCTCTTTCAGCTCTTGGAGTGCTACTACCACTCTTTCCACCTGACTCTGATGACCATTCCCAACTACTTAACAATGTCAGAATTATGACAAAATATCCGTAATAGTAACAAGGTTTTAAAAAACGATCCTAAAAAGTGTTTTCTGTTATCACAAGATGACTTGGACTGTAAAAAGAGTAAAAATCACAAACTGGCACACACCTTTATGTCCTTTCCGGTCTTGATTCCCCGGCACACATCCAGTGAGCAGTACATCCACCTTCCTTTCCAGCTGGCAGCCTGCTTCACAGTGGACCACGCCAAGTGGAGAGTTCTCAACAGGCACCTCCATGGGAATTCCACGGATAGGGTAAATCCAACAGATGGTTGACAATTCCTGCTTTGACCTGAAATGTTCATTTTGATATTGAGTGCATTTTTACACAGTATTTGGAATTAGCAATGAACCAGAACTAGACTTGAAAACGTTCCAAGCATCTTACTAATGCAAGATATCTGTGACTGGCCAAAATCTAATACCAGACCAACAGCTGTGTACAGCATGTCAGAAATCAGATTTGATTTTTGCCTTTGTACAGAGCTAAGGAGACTGGCTGCTACATGTATTTAACTGAGGAATAAAAGGATTGAACAGTCAACATAAGTCACTATAGAATTAAATTATTATACAAATTGTGACTTTTTTTTTAGAGGGACATTGTGTAACATTTTCAGTTGTTTATTGGCAAAAATTAATATCTGCATTCATAAATATGTCATCACTGGTGTACTATTGCCTCCACCAATAATCTGACTTATTCTCGTAAAAGGAGAATTTCGGATTTGTTTGTACATTGTGCGAGTAAGTCGTCTGTGGGGTTCCATTACGTTTCTCCATCTTGAGAATACACCCGCCAGCAAGGGACATACAGCACCGCCTTCGGCGTTTTCGTTGAGAGCCAGGCCAGCACTGCGTGACTGAGGAGCCGAAGGAGAGGAGCAAGAGGCGCTTCGCTACTACCCTGGCAAATTTGAAACAAAGTCCCACTCTTTGAGCATAATGCAGGATCATGCATATGCAGCATCACGGCAGACGGAATCCTTGTCGCCAAGAAAGCGCAAAAGGGAATAGAAAAGGCAGCGTGACCGGCGAATTAAAAAAACAAAGGCCCACATCGGGGTAGCCTTTCCCAGGTAGAGAGAGCTGCTGAGGGAGAATGGTAATGCAATCAAAGGCCAGCGCCGCTGTTGGCTGTTAGCCACTGTTAGCGGCCAGTCGCTAACAGCCTCATCCCTCTCCTCGCATCACTGCGCCACTGTTAGCTGTTAGCCGTTGTTAGCGCTGGCCTGTGATTGTATTACCTTTCTCCTTCAGCAGCTCTCTCCACCTGGGAAAGGCAACCCCAATGCTGACCCTTGTTTTTTTAATTCGCCGGTCACGCTGCCTTTTTGATTCCCTTTTGCACTTTCTTGGCGACGAGGATTCCGTCTCCCGTGATGCTGCATAATACATGATCCTGCATTATGCTCAAAGAGTGGGACTTTGTTATGCGGCAGTAGTGCCGCTGGCCACTAACAGCTGTTAGCGGCGCAGTAATGCGAGGAGAGGGATGAGGTGTGTGAGGTTGAGCCACTTGTCAGTTGTCAAAGGACAAGACGTGATTGGTTTGTTTCAATTTACATCCGCCCCAACAGTCCTACGTTGTAAACACAGCCAGCATGGTGAGGAGGGGGTTTGTCAACTCAAGTCGCTTTTTGCTTTTTGGTACACAGCGGCTACAGTTGTTGCAATACGTGTTTGAAACAGTGAGGCGCTAGAGTGCGCCATCTGTTTGAATGCAATATATGATTTCAACGTTAAATGGGAGAAATTCCTACACACTGTGGCTTTAAAGTGCTTTGGCTTACTTTTCACAACAGAATTTCAGGAAGCAAAACCCTTAACCCTTAAGGTACTGTACAATACTATAAAGGTAATGATTATGCTGTCTTTGCCTACCTGGCTTCCCTCCACGCAGGGCGTAAAATTAACACCCGCCAAGCGCCAATGCCGGGTAAAAAATAAGTTTGGCGTGTAAAACAAAAACACACACCCGCCAGTGGCCGATGGAAAATTTTGAATTGCATGTGGGTTTTTTATGTGCGTCGACCATTTCTGCCAACTGTGTCCAGGGACAGTTTTTGCTATGGGCAATGTGGCCGACCGCCCAAGGCGCAATCTATGTGAGGACGCACTGGCGCCCTCGAAAAAAAACAAAACAACAACAACGACAAAAAAACTCGCCAGTTTTCTAGACTACCGCTCATTTCCACGTCAAGTTAGTGGAGTGGGGCGCCCCTATTATCACGTTTCAACCAGCAGCAGAAAGGAAATGCGAATCCTGGCAGTTGTGGGTTGAAAGGGGGTCACAGACAGGAACACGGCGGAGGTTCATTGTGCTCTGCGGCGCAAGATAACGGCTTACCGGCCGTCTCCGACAAAGTCCGATTCCAGGTCCAGTAAATTCCTCTTTCGTTGGTGTCATGACTGCCCAGTAGTACCTGGACAACCGAGCCGTAGCGGTACACAGGTATGTAGCGTGTCAGAGGAGAAACGAGCCGTTAACATTTCCACAAACCTCACCGCACTTTAGGGACTGTTCGTTACTTATGGAGGGACTGTCAGGGGAGGAGGGTGGCTGGTTGATTTTTATTTTATCTTGATCCCCCTGTGTTAATCACTTATTGATGCTGTTTTTGAAGTATGAATAAGTCAATAAATAATTTATTCCATTGAAATATCATTGATGTATTATAGAAAAGTGATTTATCTTTTTATAAATGACAAAAGGCACATCTGCCTCATTTTTGCGTGGTATCGTGATACTACTTTCTTTCTTTCTTTCTAGCTTATTTGAAAGGGACAATGCACATTAATAAACACTGTATACAAAAAACACACATGTAAATGCACTCGAATTAGCTTAAAAAGCTAGTCTTCATCGATTGTCCCTTTGCCAGTTTGTACAAGGCAACCTTTAAAAAGAACAACAATGGGATAAAATATTGTACTACATAGGGTAGTCACAAACACATACTACTGTCCGTATATACATACATAATAAATACACATTTGGACTTCAACAAGGTGATGTGTGTCCACTTTAATAATACACATTTGGACAACAATTTACATCGGACAACAATATCAACATCAGTGCTCACATCTTTGGGTGTCTACAAGCCAGTTCTTAACATTTTCTTGGAATGAGTGATATGATGGAGATTCTCTTATTTATTGTGGCAATGTGTTCCATTGATGTGATGCTTTGAATGAGAATACAGCCTGGCTGAAAGTGGTGTTCCTTAACGGGATTATGCAATCTTTTTTTGTCGCACCTCGCGTAGTTCTAATAGCAGAGGATTTGAATTTAATAATACTGCAGCCTTTGCCGCAAGCACGCCAAAGAAACACAGAGGACAGGGTTGGATTTTCCTAAAGTTGGATTTTCATACTAAAAACGTAAGGTAATTATTTTTCGTCAAATAAGGCAAATTTTTTTTATTTGGCTGGTGAAAAATATGTTTGGCCGGTAAATTTTTGGAGGTCACTAGCCAATGGCAGATAAGGTAAAATGTTAATTTTACGCCCTGCCTCCACGTTTCAAGGTGTTCAAGAGAGCGTGAGTGTCTTTGTCAGTGTGTTAGCCTCGTGATAGACAACCTGTGAACCCTGTACCCTGCTTCTTGCCCAGTGTGCAATGGGAAAGCTACTTGTGATCCTGAGGGGGTATGAAAAAGGATGGATGGTACATTCTAGCTGCATTATACTGCTTCCACTGTGTTGTCTTACCCGCACATAGCACAAATATCACGTATGGAATAGTACATCTTTAATGAGCTCAAACACTGTAGTGAGCGTTTTCAACACATACCCATTTTGCTGACAAGTAAAGCTGACTTAACACTTTTGTTTACAGTGACAGGCTATGCCAGAATCTGTCTGGATGTAGCAATAGCAGAAACTAATGAGCTTTACCAAATGTCTAGAAACTTGGGCATAGATTCAGATATAGCCTCCTATGTAGACAATGAGACACACACACCTCAGGTTATTTGTACTGAAGGTATTGTTGTTGCCTGGGGTGCTGCAGGGCTTCATAGTGATGCAGAGCCAGGCCTGTTGTAGCTCCACAGAGTTAGGTGTAAACACTACAGGCACATCAAAACTGGCTCCTTCAGAGATTTTTAGACCTGCAATCATGAGGGAGGATAGAAACACAGTCACCAACATTTTTTTTTTACGTTTTCTGCCTCGTTCCAAATAAGATATACAAACATTCAGTCTGAAAACCATGGTTAATTAAAATACACTGGTTTGCATGTGGACATCCGCTAAACCACTGAGGCTGATATCAAACTAGTAGTGCAAGTCCTGTTCAAAACGTGCCTGTTTGGAACAGGCTGATTTTTTGGCCTCTGGTAACAGCTCACAGCTTTCTTGAGTACCACTTATCCAAATAACTTCACCCATAACACTGCACTTCCTGGGTCCTACGCAACACATCTGCCATGACATAGTTGCATACCCTAACAATGCTAGACTAATGTGTCATTTGCTAACAGCTGGCTTTTTGGGACCAGGCTATATCTGGGAACTAAAGCTTTCATTCTAGATGTTACATTGCTAATGCTTAAACAGTCTGAGTTTGCTATAATGTGACATTTGCTGTCTCTCCAGTCTCTCTGTAGCGAGCAACAGAGAGTGAGCTGTCCCCAGCATGCAGTTTGGCAGTGTTGCAGTTAATCAGTACCCCCTCACAATACACCACACAGTGTGTACATAATGCACTCCAATAAATATGTCCTGTAGATCTCAAGAGCTCGCACTTCCTTGGGTCCTAAACAATACACCCACAAAATGTGAAGTCAAATGGATGGACAGTTGTTGAGAAATTTGAAGGACAGACATACAAACAAAAAGAGACTCCATCCATTTTGGTTAAATAAAAAACGAACTTCGACTATCTACTAAAAACAACCATCTTTCCTGGAATGTTCTCTCGGGTGGGTTCATTTAGAAGCTAATAAAGACTAAAAGCTCTCCACATTCGTACTATCAGTTAGTTTTGCAATGAACAAGGACAGCAACACAGAAATAAAGCAAAATGTGTCTGGGGTGCAGTTCAAGATTACACATACATTGGTTATAAGATTGCAAAGTGTTGTGGGAATAACACATCTCCCTGTTTGAGGACATGTCTATGTTTCTGTAGCAATGATCCCTAAACAAAAAAGGTTAATAGAAATAAGGGTCAGTCCACACACATGTCCAGGGGAGGGGTACAACAGCTTCGCAGAGTAATGCACAAGGGGTCAAGGTCATGTCTGTCCATCCACTTCCCCACAGTTTACATGGCCTTAGTTTAAACTCAGAAGGAGGAGTTCATTGTATTGCAAGCAACAGACCCTTACGCATTCATCTCGACATTCTCTCTCTTCTGCGAGCATGCTGCAGCAGAGGCGTCGCACTGCCTCCATGCCCCATGTATTTCAGTCGTTAGCTTCTACAATTGCAGGCTCAGCCCCCTGCAATGGCTGTTCAGGGGATGGATCCTCCCTGTGGCTAAATGCCCCACAAAATCTTGTCCTGTCACCTACAGATTCTGCATACATATGCAGATGTCTGTTTATAGAGATTACTCCAACCATGAAGTCAAGGCAGGATGATGAACACTTCCAACATGACTCTGTTTATATGAAATTCTGACCTCAACAGAATGCGAGGAAACATATCCACTTTGTTTACTATCACTGGCAGTCAGGAGGAAATGAAACACAATAAAAACAATGAGCTGAAAGACACTAAAAAAACTGTAGAGCTGCGGGAATCTCCTGAGGCGAATGATAATTCTCTGTGGCTTCCTCACAACAATTGACTCATTTTACATTACATAGCCATTTGAGCCACAGATAATAAAGAAAATATTGATAAGAGCAGCTTTTAAGCTCAGTTTAGCTTTTATTTTGTTTCAAAGAAATTATTTTAAGATGACTGTGATGAGAACTGAGTTTTGGGAACTGTTTGTGTTGCTTGGAAAAATCAGTTTATTTAATATTTTATTATAATGTGGAGATTTTCTATCAGTTAACGCACCTTCAGTGTGGCTCAGAGGGATAGAGAAGACCTTGTTGTCTGAAGGGACCTGACGGCAGTTTGGGGCCCCATTTGGGTCCTCATCTGAGACACGAAGAAATACCAAGTTCACACAGTGTCGTAAACATGTCTGAGTGCGTCACATGTACGCAACAAGAACAAATATGTGACAAAGTGGCTGTTAGAGAAAGACAAGAAGTGCCTGTGACCTGTGAGTGAGATACTGAGAACGACCACAAGCTCAGTGGGGTTTGTGAAGGGAATGGTGATGGAGGCGCTGGAGCCAATTAGGGATGAGATGCTCAGAGGCTCCTCGCTCTCTGGAATAAGGCCGCACCCACTCAACAACACACACCATTCCTGGAACTAAAGAAAGACAGAGACAAATTAACACACACAGAAAGAGCCAGTGAGAGAAAATTGATGTAAAAAATGAGAAAGCATGAAGCAAATGCAGAGGAGGGAAGACAAAGAAAGGGTGTGGTCAAAAGATGAAACTGATAGAAAATGGCTATAACCATGAATCAAATTTTTAGATTCATGTGAATGATTGGGAGTGATGAGACAGTAAATAAGATAGGTGTACCTGTTTATACTAATTTAAGAGGAAAAACAAGTTAACTATCCCTGCATTTTGGTCTGTCCGCATGTATTCTTGTGTGTGTGTGTGTGTGTGTGTGTGTGTGTGTGTGTGTGTGTGTGCATGTGTTAAGGCAGGGGACAGTGATTTATGTCATCCATTTTCTCTCTGTGTTTGTGTGTGTATATATACACCTGAGGGCACTTGAAAGTGATCTTTGCCGTGTGGTTCCCCTCTCCAATGGATGAAGGACTAAAACGGACACCAAGCTGGGTGGAGGAGTGGGGCTCAATAATAAGCTGGAACACACACACACGCACACACACACACAAACACAGGAAATGGCTTTCATGGGGACAGTAAGGGAGGATAAACACTCATGCTCAAAGAGACAAATCACACTGCTAGGCAACCCACAGCTCTCCATCTAGTTATACAGCAAGTATTCCCTTTCAACTGACAACAGTGACTCTTGTTTGTTTTAGGATATGCGTAAAAAGACAACAGCTGTGTTATCAATTGCCTTAGTATACCGTATGGTTCTTTTATGAGAAGAAATCTAAAGCTAACACAATAAAATATTAATTGAACTACAAACAACATCAAAAATAACGGTAAATCAATTTCCCCAGGAGAACAAATGAAGCTTTATTCTGAAATAATGGAATGCTGAGCTGATAAGAGTAAGGATGAGGCACAAAGGTGCATGTGTATACTAACAATACTTCCTGATTCCATTTCCAGTGTGTAGTTTCTGGGATTACTGTTGGCTACAATCAGCTCCACAGGCTCAGCTGTCGGGTTAACCACGGGAATGGTCAGGCTGGTCCATCTGACACACAAACACACAGACACAATTTTATTTAGCAAGATGAAAAATACACAATAACATCAAACAGGTGGAACAGAGATGTAAAGACAGTGGGAAAATCCAAATTTTTAAATATGAATATAATTTTCAACATGTTTGGTAGTCTGCTCAGTTATCTCATGATGAACAAACTGTTATGTGCTAACAGGGTGCCTACAGGTATAAACAAGTTAAATTTTAAATACCACTAAATGGAATTCAAAACCAAGCTTGTGATGGAAATATACACCAAAAGTGAAAATATACTCTTTCCAAGTAAACACATTGATGCCATTTCAAAATGAACAGTAAATAACAACAAATAAATAACACTGATGATGCACTCTGCTTACCACATAGAAAAAATAAATTAAAAAGTAAACTAACTAGCAAGATGAAGATCATTTTAGATACGTTACGGCTTTTTTTATAACCCTGGATAAGTGATGCACTTAAAATCAGTTTAGGTAAGACTCATCCTGCTGTCTGATAAAATTTGTCTGACCCAATTGCTGCATTTATAATTTGCTGAGCTAATTAGCAGGATGCACAATTGATATGCGGCTATAATCATGATTCATTAGCCTGTTAGTGTGTGAAATTACCTCTCTGTTCATTAAAAGTCCTGTTGTAAACTCACGGCTGTATAATATACTTTTCCTCTATCTCTGACTGCTAGACAAAGTAATTCTAGTCACTTGTAAATTCAGCACCTTTGACCCTGTTATGGGTCCTGTTGGAATGAGGACTATATTTTTCCTGGGAGCTGACTGGTCAACAGGTGGTTTAAGCAGAACTCAAATGAGCCTGCTCTATGGCAGGTTAGCCATGTATCTTAGATTACCATGGTGATTCATGAGATTACCATGGAGGCTCAAACAGACTAGCAGTATATTGCCATTTCTTTTTTTTTTTGTCCAAGGATGCATAAGAATTGTTTAAGATGCAGGCACTATACTGGCACACACACAGCCATATGTTTGGATCCTGGCTGCAGATGCAGGATTTTTTTGGACAGGGATTTTTGACACCCTTTCAAATGTTTGTGGCACAATTATTGATTCAAACCCTCTGACAATCATATTCAGGAAGATCATTGGTAACCATGCTACAGTTGGGGCTTTCTCTCCACTGCTTGCTCGATAACAGATTCTCCTCAAATTAAGAAAGGACTGTGTCAACATTTCATAAATGCTGGCGAAAGGATATAATGGCACACCTCAAACTCAAACAGCTATGTCATGTACGCATGTCTGTGGGCTCTAGTTAATGAAAATGAAATAAAAACAATTTAAATATAAATTATTATACTTTTTCCTGAAAATGATTCTTAAGCAGGCCCCCTTTTTTTGTTTTAAAGCCTATTATGGGATGTTTCAAAGTCCTTAGCCCACACTGTTGCTGTGTACCATACAGCATGTGTGCAAGCATACCTAGCCAGTAACCCTGCAGTGAGATATTGTGTATTTTGGTGAGAGTGCACCTACTTGCCCAGCTGACAGCAGGCCTGTGGTAGCATGATGACTGGAGGAGGAAGAGCATAAAGCTCCAGCTGATACCAGAACTCTCCCACCAGCTCTGACTGGAACACCACACTGGCAGAAAACACACACCAAACCTGTGAAAATACTATAGATGCACCACAGATTCATAACATTGTTCCAAATAGAAAAATAAATAGCTCTGTATATATGACATTACCAAGTTCATCTTGAGGTCTACAGCTTATTCTATTCCACACTATGAATTGTCAGGGTGGCAAAATTGTCTCAGATTCAGGGGAATTATGTCTTTTTAGATCATTCACACAAAGCGTTAAGTGAACAGGGATCCTCACTTAAATTATAAATTGTGTCGAGAAAATTTTTTACCTCTGCCTTTAAAGGCGGTCGGGTCAGCTACAGTGCAACGAGTCTTACCTGCCTGTGCTCTTCCCTACTCTGCCAGGGGAGAACATAACTTTGTAGGCAAGAGTCCCCCCCGGGGGAACTGAAACCCAGTTGGCCCCATTCAGGTCATCTCCTTCCAGGTACACATCCAGTATTAGCAGCTCTCCTCGAGGGTTTCTGACAGGGATCTCTATGGCAACTGAGCTCTGGGAACACAGCATTTCAAAGATGGCACCTGTTTTTTTTCCTGTGATGTTCTGATAGTCTTTTGATCTTAGTGTAGAAGGAAGATTAACTTTTCCTGTAACAGTGGCTAGCAGTAGAAGCATTTCTTTGGGGCCTGCATGTAATAAATGTAATAATAATAATCCTGAACTGAATTAACTTTTTTTTCCCTTGAACTTTTATTTAATGTAAATTAAACAGCCAGCTACAGAGAACTACTCTTTCAGGAAAGTATGAATTAAGTGTCTTGCTTAATGACAAGTGGCTTGACTAGGGTCTTCTAATCTCTACCGACAATCCACACATTCAAGTCTTGTTTGTATGTAACAAAGGAAAGTTATGATATAATTTGTGCAATTAGGCTACAATTACCGTGTGATGCTGTACAATAAAGTGTTTCTATTTCTACTCTGTCTGAATTCCAAAAGTTGTACTCTGATGTGCATTTGCATTCTTAACTGATGAACAAAAGTAAATTAAATGGAAGGAAGTAAATGTCATCACACATAAAGCTACTGTACTTTTTCAAGCATACGTTTTAGCCATTAAGTCAAAGGTGCATGGGTAGAGACTGAGATTTAAGAATTTGTGATTGCTTCAAATTGCGTCAAAATGGAATAAAAGCGACACTGCACAAAGGATCTGAGCTGCAAAATATGGGAGCAGGGAATGGAAATGACTAAAAATGACCTCTGCAACTGATTTGTCATTGCAGAGTGATCACTGTGGCAGAGGAAGCTGTCTGAAATTTAATATCTATGAAAGTTTTTTGTTGAGTGGCACCATTAGATCATAAAATATTTTTCACATATAAACTTCCCTCTTAAAGAAGTATATACTCTAACAACTCCAAAAGTGTCTTCTCTTCTCAACCAATATTCCTAATTAAGCAGCAGAAAAAACATAATCTGATGAACTATGGCTTTGCTCATCTACATCTGAGTAAATTTACATTTTAGTAAATATTCTTCTGAACTGGAAAAAATGTGGTGATGCTTATTTCTGCAGCCCTGAAGGTAATTTGTGATGGGGTTGGTGAGTATCTACTTGAGAGTGCAAGTGTGTTTGCAGTACTTACCTGAGCAGCACACTGTACATCAATGACCTTGATGGGCACTGCTGGCTCACAAATTATCTCCAGAGAGAAATGCACCTCGTAGCATCCAAGTAGATTTCCTGGATGAAAGGCATACATGTATAAATGCACACACGTATACACACACTTGACATTCTAATCAAGTCTTGGGCATAAGACTTCAAAGTGAAGTGTTTGTGAAGCCCTCTGAGCTCTGAGTGGTTCATGTACAGTATGGTACAACACTAAGCTTACCTTTGTGCTCGTCTGCCTCCTGCATGGCATCAATTTCTATAAATGACAAACAGCCTGCAAGAAAAGTTGTGAAAAAAGGGTTCCATTTATTTTATTTTAATGATTGTAATCAATTCTTTATTTAGGTTTGTTGTCATTTTAGCTTTATCTAGTTGGTACAATTAATGAATCCATCCTAATGAGCATTTTTTACACTCATACCCTTGAGAATGTACAAGCATAAAAATTCCTTATATTTCCTACTTACCATCGTATCCTTCTCATGTGCCTATGCAAACACACTGCAGATGTATACACAAATATAGAAATACAAGTTGTCCTTCAGGCAAGCAACACTAACACTACTATACCACTTACATTACTTTACACAGTAAAACCACAGCATTCAGATGTATGTGTTAAAACAGGAAACTAAACAACAGACACCAAGAGTGTATCATTTTCTTTTATCTAAAATTTATTTTGACCAGGAAAGGATGAGATTATTGAGATTAAAATCTTTTTTCAAGAAAATTCAGAATCCCAGCATACTAAAAAAGCAGGTCAACATATCCTGGATCATGTAGAGGCATATATTTAGTCAAAGCATCTACAGCTTGATGCTCCTTCCTCCAACTCCTTCAATCTACTTTTGAAAATGCTTAAAGAGAGCAGCTCCCCAGGACCTAAATCAGTCTGCAGCAGATTCCAAGCTGCAGGACAGCAAACCTAAAAGCCCTTTTCCCATTTCAAGATGAATTGTGGAAATAGATAGCAAGAGTAGGTTCTGTGAATATGTCACAGAGCGTAGAAGGTAGCTTCCAGCATTTTTCTGATGGAAAAAACAATGCATAGATAAGAAGGAAGTAGGTTAGGAACTGCCTCATAAATAAGGACATGTCACTGATTAGGTCTATGGATGGACAATGCAGGCCAGCTAACCCTAGCATACAAAAGCAAAGGTAAGTGAGGGCCTTCAGATTTGTGATGAACCTCAATACTCCAAGGAGTGAGGGCACTGAGAAGATGCATGCATATATAAAACATCACCACACTCAATCAGCAGTGACAAGTTTTCGTTAATCTCCATCTTAATTATTTCCGATAGCCAATTTACAACATTAATGGTCCCCCCTTGGTGAGGCCTAATGTTGTTCTCTACATAATTGGTGCCTCCGTGTGACGTCCTAATTTATGTTCCCAACAGATTCAAATCGACTTCAACTCAAAAACTGTATCATCTGCATATAATTTGAAAAACAAAGTAAGTTGACATTTTAGCCACCTTCCACGTCACTTACTAACCAACCACACAAAAGGCTCTTGTAGGTGACAAAGAGCCTGACAAAGTGAAGAAGCAGAGCAGTAAACAACAGTGTGATCTGTATATAATTTGAAAAACAAAGTAAGCTGTCAATTTAGCCACCTTCCACATCACATACTCACGACCCACACTCCCCACAATAACAAACATGTAGCAGGGGAAAAAACAGAATCACCTGTCTGTTTTCCTCGTTTCCATGATGACACAGCAAAGGTGTATGGAGCGTTGTGGCCAGGTTCCATCTCTAAAGAGGGGGGGCCACTTACATCAGGTAGGTCTGTCACCACCTGTGTGTATACAAGTATTCATGCACACAAACACACAAGACACATAAGAACCAGAAATACAGGGGAAAAAAGGAAATACATGCTCTAGAACACACACACACACACACACACACACACACAGACAGACAGACATACACACTCACTTGCAAATGGCTCATGGCTCAACACTGTCTATGGGGCTGTCAGACCACAAAGAAATTCACTGGTCCTATTTGTTTTATGACAAAAATACATCTGTGTATTCTTCATTCATTAATATTGAGACTGATCTGACTCCATACTGTTTATTTGATTCAACCAACAGTCCAAAACCCAAACATAGTCAGTTAACATAAAAATAAACCTTATCAGCAAGTAACAGCAGTGTGTGTGGATGTTATTTGCATGTGTGCTTATACCTTCAGAGTGAGTTTTTTCTGGCCGTAGTTGGGGACATCTATCTGTGTGTGCATGGTTTGACCTACAGAGCAATGTAATACCACATGGTCCACAGGCAGGGGGCGCTCTCCCACTCCTCTAAAGGTAAACACGTGCTCAGCACCGTCGCAGTCATTATGTAAGGACAGCTTGCCCTGTGGGGGTAGGGATAGAGTCCAGGCAGTCAAACACACACACAAACTGGTGTTCAGTGTGCACACAAAGGAAACATGGCAAGCTGACGCTTAGCTGCAGACCAGCATTCTCACACTGACCTATGACTGTGGCTGATTACAAAGAGCCCAGGACAAGTAACAATAGGACACCAATTTTTTTCTTTTAAAATTTAGGTCTTAAACCCACACTGCAATAAAGGGACAGGATGGTATTCCCTGCACAAAAATGTTTCCTACACTTGTGTACCCAAAACACAATTTCCTCATTTGGTCCATCCTACAAACAGTTAGCATTTAGTGAGCATCTTCAAGTTTAATTCACAAGAAACTAGGTGTGGTAGGCAAACAAAGCGAAAAGACAACTAACAACACAGTGACAGCTCGCAGCAGCATGTTTCCTATTTAAGCTCCGCCTCCCCTACATGACATCAGAAATGCATTGGTGGTTCAGTGGTAGAATTCTCGCCTGCCACGCGGGAGGCCCGGGTTCGATTCCCGGCCAATGCAACACATCTTTTTTCCCCTCTCTAATTTAAACACAACAGATAAATAGCTATACATATGTGCATATACAGTGTATATTTATTATGAATTTGTTTTTCATATATTCATCACAATATTTATTAATCCCTGTTTTCATTTCAACATTTGCATTTGTATATATTTATGTATTGACAACTAGATCATTTTTCATTTTCTGTACCAAGTGAAATTTAACTTTCTGTGGGGGAAATTAAGATGTGTAAGATAAATGAGGGAAAATTCAACAATCTACACATCTATAATATAAAAGATTTTTATGTATACGTATTTTTTCTGTATATTTTTAACTTCTCACTTATAAAATAACTTCCAACTTCAAGTCCTCTGATGATTAAACAGATAAATCACTCTGAAAAGAAAAATAATATTCTTTGAACTGCTCTGCATTCTCTGTATGTGAAAGACGTACTGAGGCAAGGCATCAACTAACATCCTAAATTGCACAACACTTCTCAGAAAGAGAAAGCTTAGTTACAGTTTGCCCCTGCCTGTGCCTCTGTCCCGTTTTTAGAAAAGCACTGGAAGATGAGGCTGGTCACAGAGAAAGCTTAAATTCCCAGATATCATCTTAACAGCCGCACAGGCCAGACAGTGTGCTGCTGTTTGAGGCTTCGAGATAAGTGTTCATACTTGAGCCGACTGTTCCCTGAGAGGATGGAACCGAGGAGGCTAATGGGAAGAAAGGCCAAATATGAGGGCTTGGTGGATGAGCATTGTTGGCAGGGGATTTCAAAGTGGGCCTGCTTCTAAGTGCTGCTTGAATAATTCTGAATACACACAAAGTCAAGGCCACCACACTGAAGATTTTATGGTGTGTATATTGAGCAAGGACATTAAATGGCAAGAATGTGACAAAGGAAGACAGAAACATGGAGACAACTTAAGACAACAAGAAACAATGAAACCACAAGGAAAAAAAGGCATTACCGTGACAATGCATAGTGCAGAAGGGTGGAAGGTGAGGGGGTAGCAAGCTCTTGTCCCTGCTGGCACATTCAAAACTGGTGGGCCGGAGAATCCCTCACCATAAACCTCAGCTTGCATTTTCCAGTCTTGGTGGGTCTTATTGTGCTACGACAGAGACATATAGGCCTTAGAATTTGAATCCACCATTGTTCAACATTTTCACATGTTAAAAAGCAATTTTTTAAAACTACCATCATAACATGATCTACTTTTCTAACCTAAAACTTTAAATATGTTAGCTTCAGTCAAGTCATATAATTAGTCAAAGATAAATTTCAGCCATGCTTTATGGTTGCTGTACACTAATGACAACCACTCTCTTCTAAAAAAAGCAGTTTCTTATTATCGAAGTGATATCTAAAATGATTCATAATTAATCAAATGCTTTTAGGATAGCCCTTAATAAGCAGCATACACATGCACACTGATAAATGCATTTTCTCTTGTCCCTCACCAGTGGTATGTCCTGTGTGACTGATCGGTGAGCAGGTGAACAGAAGTCCAAGTGGACGGATCCTCCCTGCAGTCACAAATGATATGATTTTAGTAACATTAACCATTAACCACATGAATCAACAAGTAATTCAGCATTTACTTGTATGAATACTTCACCTCCAAAATGATGGTCATTTGGGATTAGACTGACAAAAAAGACATCTAAATACCTTGCCTTGGATTGTGAAAAACTGGTGTGGACATTTTTCACTATTTTCAAACATTTTATAGACCAAAAAAAAAGATTAATATAGAAAAGAATATGCAAATTAATCAATGATGAAAAAAATCATTAGTTGCAGCCCTATAACATTAAGAAGTTTATTAAGCTCTGATAGCTGATACCTACCTGTGAAGTAACCAGTGCCTCTAGCACATAGACCCTGGTATCACACCAGGACCTCAGGACCACCTGACATGTAAATTGCCCCACGGTGTCTGCCTGAAACCGTAGTGGGATGTCCACACAGCCACAATCTGTTGAACAAAGTGAAGAGAAGAATCAGGGATGGGGGGAGATGGACAATCAAGTGGTGTCGACAGTTTTAATAAATAAATTAAATGAACATGAGTGAAACTACTAGGGCATTTCAGTCACAAGACCTTTTCCAGGGGGTAAAGGACCTTTGAGGCACAGTGTTACCCACATTTCCACCAGAGCTTTCCAAGGTGTAAAAAAGGTCTCTTCTCTGAGGTTAACTTTCAGTAGTTTAGCAACTATCAAGTTACATTCTTGTCAGTGAAGAAAGAATAAAGTACCAAAAAATGTACTGGTTGGGTGCTGGTACTTAAATGTTTATCGGGGATCTGAACATGTTTTCTCTTTCTGACTAGTTTAAGATAAACAGAGAAAGAGGGACCAAGTGTGCAAATGAGCTGCGAGCACCAGTGAACAAGAGAGGGCAGGAGAGGCAGTTGACAGAGCTTACGAGTGAGTGAGAGACAGGTAGTGAAGATAAGAGAGTAAAGCGAGGGAACAAGAGAAATTAAATTTGGTTTGCTAATGTTTTATTGTGAGACAGATTTGTGGGAGATTTCAGTCTCCTCTGCAAGTCTCTTTTTCATTCATTTATTGTATCTTCCAGCAAAATGATTTAGATATTTATATGTGTGTACCTGCAGGATTTTCCCATGGCATGTTGGTGTCTTCCTTTATAGGTATTGTAACAGTACTGGGTAAAGCAAAGTATTGTGGCAAAGAAACTTCCACACTGTAGTCAATCCCTTCATTCTGGGGAACGCCTTTCAAAAGTTGGGCCTAACAAGAGACAAGAGGAGGGGGAAATTAAGTTCAATATGGACAACAGGAAAACATTTCACAATACTGAGTTGAAACCCCCCCCTGCTTGCCTGGCCACCAACCAACCACACAGCTTCCTACTGTAAAGCCAAAGGTCAGCTTTTCAGAGTGAGTATGTGAGTGTACCTGTTGTTTCAAGAGCTTACGTACAGCTGTGGTTGCCCTCAGGGTGCTGCTATGCAAAGTGTGTGTGAGCATCCGCCTCCTGTGTTCATTTGCACTCATGCTGCGCTGACCCCAGAAGGCCAGAGCTTGCTCCCGGCCCATATTGATCAGCGGCACACGCACCACCTCCTCACACACCTGCCCCACGCTGCAGTGCAGACTTAGTACTGACACACACACAACTGGGTCTATTGGTGGAGAAAATATCAGTGTTGACATTATTTAATCTGTTATTCACTATGAATACACTACTTTATATTCAGGTGACACAGCCAAAGAGAAATTATCACTACTGGTACCTCCTAAATGTGATTATGCTTTTCCAACATTGACATCAAAAATGACATGAATGTATGTCTGCTGACTTTTCTTTTTTTTTTGGCTTTAAAACAGGACCAATTTTGAAAATAACAGCATTTACATGTTTAATGATTAAATGATAACTGATGTTGGTGTTCTGCAATGTTGAGTAATGTTCATAAACTTAGGGTTAATGGAAAACAGCTATAGTAAGTAACATTTAGTTTCAGATTGTGCTATGATGCCCTAAAATACTTTAGAAGCAACATTTGGGTGACAGACTTCCTACCAGAGTTGCTGGGGATGGAGACTATGTTAGAACTGGGCCTGGCAGTGAGAGGGGAAGGAAGAGGCAACTCTGCTGTGGCCTTCACCATATAGACCATATCTCCTACCTAGAGGGACATACACAGAGACAGACATGGCTGTGAAGAAACAAGGGTCACTTGCCACACTGACTGGTAATGTTTGGAGATCCCATATAATCAAACATGAATACCTACTTTATACCTATGTTAAATATGCTATTGTTTTTTGCCCGTTCTCAAACTTTGACATTGCTATCCTGCACACTGGTTATACTGCCCTATCAAGGAGTTACCTTTATTCAAAACTATACAACATGAATTGCTCCAATAAATACAAGGTGGGATTTTTCTTGATAGTATCACAAGTGTCACAAATTTTGTAAAACTGCAACAAAAGCACAAATGACCGATACACACAACATAGGCACAATGTAAGGCCTCAAAACCACTAGAAACAGAAAATGCTGGGTCACAGGGTAAGCATTGCCAGCAACCAGCTTACAGTTATGCTAGCTATCAGTTAAATGCCGTTAAATGAATTTCCCCCCTGAGGGATCAATAAAGTATATCTTATAAAGTGTATTTTTCAGCAAACCAAAGAACAGCTACTTTATTCTGTATTCAGGAATGCAAACAGGTGTATGGTCGAAAAAGAAAGAGCTTGTCGAAGCGAAATTCTGAATATTAAAATACACAAACACTAATTTGGAAGAATATTGTGTATTCCAAAACAAAACAAATCCACTGAGCCATCATGACCATCTCGTTTTAAGTCCAAATCTTTGTACATTTCTTCATGCTCTCTACATTGAACAAAGTGGGTAGATTGGCCTACTACAAATAACATGTCAGTTTCAAACTAAGGGCCATCTGAATATCGCGGGGCAAGTGCCCTTAAAGGGATAGTGCACCCAAAAATGAAAATTCAGCCATTATCTACTCACCCTCATGCTGAGGGAGGCTGTGGTGAAGTTTTAGAGTCCTCACATCCCTTGCGGAGATCGGCGGGGGTAGCGGCTAGCTCATCTAATGGCTGACGGCGCCTCAGTCTAACGTCCAAGAACACAAAATTGAAACCACAAAATATCTCCAACATGCTCATCCGTAGTGATCCAAGTGTCCTGAAGCCCCGACATAAAAAGTTGTTTCGAAAAACGTCATTTGAACTCTGTTTTTAGCCTCACTGTAGCCTGTAGCTCTGACTGCTTCTCTGTGCTCTGCGCTCACATGTGTGCACTTGCGTGAGACCAGTGAAAGCACAAGTTTTGCTTACCCGTGTTTACATTACGTGACATGTGCACCACAGGGAGAGACAACAGTAACCACATATCTGAGACCAACACCATTGTCATACACATATATATA